CCAGTTGGGGGCTTGCGAAACTCGGGTCCAGCGCCGATGTCTGACCTGACGGTAGCGTCATGTGAGTTCGGGTCCCGGTATTTAAAAGACAGATTCATCATGTAAAAAAATCGCAAAGCCCGAGTGTTGGTCTGGGCGCAACCCCAAGATGTGTGGTGAGCACTGAAGTCACTCACCAAAAGAATAGGCGGGGGAAGCTCGGCCACCAGAAATCTCATTTCTGTCGTCGGAAATGGAGTACCAGGAGGTAAGTAAAGCGAGTGGACGGTTATTGCACGACGCCCGAAAAACACCTTAGCTGCAACAGCTTGCAGGTCCGAGTGTAAGACAACGCGTTGGACGGAGACACTGTGGTGGACAGCCAAAAGAACTCCGCCGTGTGCAGTTGGATCAGCTGGCATATCTCGACGCATTACGGCGTAGCTCGGGATACTAAAATGAGAGCCAGGTACCAGTTTGGTCTCCTGCGAGCGGGCCATGGCCGGACAGTGCTGATTCAGAATGACTCTGAGATTGTGTAGACTAGTTCTCACGCCCCTGCAGTTCCACTGTAAGATACTTCTCACAAAGCGAAGAAGTGAGGGCGGCCATTACACACCTAGCTCACCAGCACAGCGCGCAGAATATCACAGTCAATACGCCTGCAAGGGGGCGTACTAAAAAAGGGGTCAAAATTACAATTTAAGACACGAAACGGTTCAAAAGAACTGGGCTGCGCCTGTTGCAGGACCGGAAATCTCGGTCTGAGAGTTACGGCTCAATTCCGTAGGGCGGTGCTCCACTCTGGGCCGAATCCTTGGGCTTCCTCCGTCGGATGAAGACGGAGGACCGGCTGGGGGGCGCTTTGTGCCAGCGTGCCCACTCCTGGGTGGTGGAGGGGGAAGACCCATGGATGGGGCCGTGCCACACATTTGAGGACCAGCGGGAGGCTCCACTGGTTTTCTGGGCGATGGAGCGCCGCTGCGGGGGACGGACTTCTTGCCCGCCCCAGGCATACGGTTCGCCGCCTTTGCCCGTTCTTGTTCGGCCAGGCGTGCCTGTCCGCCTCGTGCCGCTCCAACGTTTATATCGCCAGCCTGCATGCGTTCGCTAGTGGTGTCGAAGGTGATAAAGGCAGCGGAGCACACGAAGCGGAGGCGGACGAGGGTGGCGAGGAAACCGATGCGGAGGCCGGTGGAGCCCGCGGGCCACGGCCATGCCGGACCACCGTCCAGCCCTCCTCTCCGGCAGGAGACCGTGGAGCCGGGGAGTCGGCAACATGCAGGGTGCCGACCGGCCAAGCGCCGGGATGGAGCAGGGGGCTTAGCCCGGACGCCAACATCCGCCACAATTTGGTCGGCCGGCGAGAAGGGAGTCCGGACTGCTGACTGGGAGTCCGGTGTACGCGCTGATGGTACAAGAGTGAGACCAAACGATCTCAAGAGTCCCACGAACTGAATGACAGTCATCTGCTTCGATGACGTTGTTGTGCGGCAAAGCAGTTTTCACTTTCGATGCATACGAGAGATTAGGATGACTCGCGTCATGCTCGCTCTGGCCTCTCGGAAATATGTTTTTGGACGTTTTTAGCAAAAGTACCTCCTTTTCTCTCACGAACGCTGGACATGTGTGGTCAAACACAGTGTGTGGTGTTTGGTCCTTACCACAGTTGACGCAATAAGGCTGGTCAGCGGTGCAGTTGTCACTCAGGTGGGTGGTGGACGAACACTTGCTGCACACTGGATTATGGCGACAATGGGGTTTCGTATGGCCGAACCGTTGACATTGGAAACAGCGCATTGGGTTGCGAACAAAAGGACGGACTTTCGCGCGGGCATAGCCCACACGGATGTCCGATGGTAAATCTGGACGATTGAAAGTGAGAATGATGTTGTTGGTAGCATTAAGTTCTCCTCCTCTCCTGACCAGGACTCTACGCGCGGCGGCTGCGCCGAACTTCGAAATCTCCTCGACGATTTCGCTCTCACTTACATCACGAAGGTCAAAACAATTTACGACGCCTCTAGATGAGTTTTTTTAGTTGTATGGTGTTATTGTCAAAGCCACGGTTTTGTCATGTTTCCCGTTCTTATCACGAATGTTATAAATGAACTCCTTTGCTTCCAATGCACGCTTAGCCTCCATACTACTAGCGATCTCTACCCCGATGTTGCCATCCCTCAGCTTGTCACATCTCGTGATAACTCCAAACTTGCCACAGCCGTTGTGTCGTTGGAACGGCGACAGGGTGGAAAGATTTACATCTCCGCTGGAGATCATCAGAATCCGAGGGCAAGGGGGTCCGAATCCCCCTCGCACCCGGGCCTCAGCGTTGTCCAACCTCCTTTCGGGGTCGGGTGTTTCTTGAATTTTGAGAAGCCATGTGATTTCTAGTAAGCATTCGGCACCGGGGCTCCCACCCACCTCGGAGCCCAAATGGGGGACGGTCCAACACTCCGTCGGGAGGTGGTCGCCGCCAGGGCTACCCCGGTGCTATACGGGGTGAACGACGCCTCCCACACGGCCAGGTGTAACCGGGGAGACCCCTCCCCGTCCTGATCGTGGTTCAGCGCCGCCGCCCCTTGACCCCTTAAGCCGCTGCGCGCGGCCAGGCGCCCCAAGCGGAGACCCGCAAGGAGCACCCAACTGCAACGCGAGCGACAGGCCGCTAGACCCGTGTGGGGCCCCACGGGCCCCCCACGCTCCCGGATATCCTGGCCAAAGTGGAGTGTTGGGACGCGCCGTGACTAACCCGCACGACGCGCCCCTCAGCTACCAGGATCCGATCAACCCGGGGACGCGGCGAGGGGGCATGGCGACCCCGATAAAACGAGGATGAGGAGCGGTGATAAGGCCGGATACAGGAAAGCGGGTGGTGGGAAAGCAGCGGGCGGGACAAGGAGCAGGAGCTCACATACCGGCAGGGCCGCTACGCCGTAAGGGGAACAGCTTGCGCTGTCCACCCGTAACCGGAGCTGAGACCCGAGGGGGCGCTAGTCCCCTACACCGACCGAAGCCGGTACCCCTGCGGGGAAAATTTTAATATTGAAATATGATTTCAGACATACACCTGTGTATGTATTGACTTACAAATGCAATAACACAGGTGTTCTTGCCACTCACTGGTGGCTTAGCCTCATTTGGTTGTTCAACATGAGCAAACACTGCAGCTTAATCCATCTGACGTCACTCTCACAAATGTTACAGATGGACAAAGACTACCTGAAGTGGTGATGCCATTTGTGCACATTATCTTGCATGATGACCAGTCAAGTGGATGGTATTCTGGGATCCAACTCCTTGACTACTTGATACAGTTACAAATGAGGCAGCCTCAGGTTTCTAATCTGGGGAGCAGCACATTATAACTAACACGTTGATGTCCCTCTACAACTGACATTAGGTTACAATGCTATGAGGCGGGCCACCTGGAAATCTGCCCTTTCTCACCAGCACCAAGATACCAAGCAACATTGGCATCATTAATGCCAGGGGTGGGAATCAAACCCACCTTCCTCATGGAGCAATGGAGGCTGCATCACAAACTTGCAAAGATTTTACAAAAATGTGTTATATATGTCTGGGTACCAGGGATGAACTGCTCAAAACAAAACAATTGAATGTTCTTTCCATTTCACCAGCAGCTTCCATGACAAGCATTGTAGCATGCCAAATGTGTTCAGGTGACCATAGTATTGTCCTACAATGAATCACAACCCCAAAACACATACTTTGTGCAATAAGAGATTAATACACTCCTCTGCTACTTGAAGATCTGTGCTCAAAATAAAGGCTGTGTTGAAAAGGTGCAAAAAGGTTAATTTAGCTTATAGATGTAATCCTGGTTTCCTAAGTTTCTGAGGTGCATACACAGGTAAAAACTGCTTACCTCCCATAGGACATAGTCCAATAACCATATGCTGAGATTATGGAAACAAAGAACAGAACATGTTTATGGGAACCAGGGAAGGAAAGTGGGCAGGGTTTTTGATAAAGTACAAGCATGATCTCACTGTGAACATCATTCAGAGGAAATACAAACTACAACATAGGCAATTTCATAGCAGATAGTTAATAGTCTCTATTAGCCCCACATCATCATTAACTTGTCTGCACACATCAATATAAGCCCCAGCACATGGCATCCACCTGCTACAAATGCATGCATTGTCCACACTACTTTTGCTCTGTGTGCAGCATACCATGACTTGGTGGACTGCTTCAGAGCAGATCTCCATGCTAAGAGCTCTGAAAGACACACAAGCAAGCATATGTCCCACAAATATCTACTCAATGTATTCATTTGACTCGCTAGCATGGCAAGCATTCCACATGTTTTACAGAGGATAATTTCATTCATGATACACAACCAGAAATGAGAGCAATAGCAGTTGAAACCTATGGTTGCCAAACAAGACACAGCGCCATGGTTCACAATCCATTTGGCCGCTCAGCATGTGAAACCTTTTTACTGAACACATGAACTGGACCACTCAACGTGAAATGAAATGCAGTGTGCAATGTTGCAAGCAATCAAGCAGCATGTGATTTGCTGGAATATTGTTCGATTACAATTATTTCCAAGTATATTACACGACTAAATTGCTTTCACGCGACAGCCCCTCACATCACCCACCCATAACACTTCAACCCAGCAAACAGGACTGAGTGCTATCGGCCCAGACATATAACAAGCCGAACGCGCTCCTAGGTATGGCGAGAATTAACATTCTAGATATTGACCACGCCCAGAAAATTATCTCTGATTCTTCTTTGGCACGTAGAAGTATGTCTTGGTAGAGTGGCAAGGCACTCCGAAAAAGCCCCAGCATTCCGCATAAGTTTCCGAGGTTAGCTGCCGGCCGAACGCGCCCAGTATCGTTATGTGGGCTCGACTGTACATGGCGTCGGCAGTCTCCCACTGTAATGACGTCATGGTCGGCGGCGGCGCTAGCTTTCAGCCAGCTGATTCACGGCAGGACGGCGCCGCTCGAGAGGCGGCGCCCGGACGCGCTGCCGGCGTCGCCAGTCGCGGGGCCGTTCGCTCTGGGGTTGGCGGGGGTGGGTGCGCCGTGCCCGCGACTGCTCCAAGGCGTCCTAACGAGGTGGAAATCCTTGCTCGACACCGCGAGACATTCCCGCGGACTGACCAGCTTCTTGCCAGCGTCGGGACGGTGCACGCTGGCACGTGACGTTCCCACCCGGCCCCGGTGAGTGCAGTTCATGGAGGCGGATCGATCCGATCGGTCTGCACCGAGCCGAGCGCACAGCGGGATAGGCCAGACGCTCTGCTCCGGCCCAGTCCGGCAGGCGCCGCTCTGCTATCGGATCAACCGACGCGACTGGATTAGCTCTTATCTTTCGCAAACCCTATTCTCCGTCATCGTAATCAGCATGTTGGTCAGCCTGGGGTGCAGCAACACAAGGGGAAGGACAACGGCCCCACTTTCCGTGCAAGTTAAGCATGTCTGTCGTGATGGATGGAAAGCGCTGACTTGTAAATGGTTGGCCAAGGGGTGTAGTTTTGCAAAATAACTTAGGCGGTGAGAAGAAGGTGAGCCAGCAGAAATTGCTGAACCCACCCTCGGAATCTGGAATGATGTGTTTTTCCCCAGATTTGACACACTTTTTCTCAGAGTTGGAGTCTGACCAGGGGCGCAACTATGTACCTTCGGGTGGCCTGAGCTCGCCAATGCTGATTTGAGCCCCCCCCCCCCCCCCCCAATATCTTTTAAACCCCTTCAATGCATACGGGCGAGGAGGAAATACCGGGCCAAATGAATAGACCAGTTATCTTTACAATAGGTGTACTAGGTGGTAGGTACCTAAAAACATCGTTTAACCACGCTAGCTACTCCATATGTTAAGCCAGTCTGGAAACGTTTGACACGTTTTTTCAAATGATACCGCCTGGAATGGAACGCAGAACAATTTAATGCAATAAGCAGCAGCTTGTAACAGTACAGAGGGCTCAAATAAAATCAAAAACGCATGCTTTCTTATCAGTGGCAAGGGTATTTGATGAATAGTCGTGACTGTGGTGGTCATACAACACGATCCCCGACAGCGGTAGTCGCCAGTAATCCCTTAGTAAGCCATGCTCAGGTGCTGTTTTTTATTTACATCTTATTCTAAGCTTTTCACAAAAAGGCGGCTCACATTAACTTGAAATTGGAAGTCATTCCTCCACACGAAAACAGGTTTGAATCTACAAAATATTAAACTTTTTTACTTTGAAATCGAGGACGCAAATTCAAGTGGCCCAAATCTAGGAGAAATCAGGTTTTGGGGTAGACTTGCTCTTTCTTTTTGGATGAGGCTCCCAACAGGTTTTAAAAAGTGGTACCTCTGAGTCTGACCCCTCGCTCCAACAGAAAAGGAACCTACACCTTCCGGTGGCCTTTTTTAGACGTTCCGGCGCCTGCTGCGCCGCGCTCGCAGCTCAATCTCAGGGAGGCGGCATGTTACGCTTGTAGCCCAGTCTCAGGGAGACGGCATGTTACGCTCGCAGCTCAGTCTCAGGGAGGCGGCCTGTTACGCTCGCAGCTCAGTTTCAGGGAGGCGGCCTGTTACGCTCGCAGCTCAGTCTCAGGGAGGCGGCATGTTACGCCTTGTAGCCCAGTCTTCAGGAGACGGCATGGTTACGCTCGCAGCTTCAGTCCTCAGGGAGGCGGCAATGTTATCGCTTGTAGCCCAAGTCCTCATGGAGACGGCATGTTACGCTCGCAGCTCAGTCTCAGGGAGGCGGCATGTTACGCTTGTAGCCCAGTCTCAGGGAGGCGGCCTGTTACGCTCGCAGCTCAGTCTCAGGGAGGCGACCTATTACGCTTGTAGCTTAGTCTCAGGAGGTGCCTGCTTCGCTCGTAGCCCAGTCACAGGAGGCGGCCTGCTACGCTCGTAGCCCAGTCACAGAAGGCGGCCTGTTACGCTCGTGGTCCAGTCACAGGAGGCAGCCTGTTACGCTCGCAGCCCAGTAACAGGAGGCGGCCTGTTACGCTGGTGGCCCATTCTCCGGTCCAGCGTATGCGCTTGCTTGGTTGCGCGCACTTAATGGCTACGTTTAGATGGGTTGTGATGGCTTTCTAACATAATGGGACATATAGTTGTACTGGTCACCGTCGGCAGATCGCCAGCAGAACGCTATCTCCCCGTCAACGTCTGGGCCCTGTTGACAGCCGGGGCCCGGTTGTAGGCTGTCAGCGATAGTCAGGTGGTTACGGCTGCTCCCTGGCAACGCACAAGGCCCCCTTGGTGGGCCGGACCCGATGGTACGCGGTCAGCTTGGGTTAGGTGGTCACGGCTGCTCCCTGTCCACGCATGAGGCCCCCTTGGTGGGCCGGACCCGGCTGTACGCGGTCGCTCAGCGGCTGTGCGAGCGATGGTTAGGTGGTCTCGGCTGCATGGTCAGACGGCTCTATGTAGGTTGCAGGTTGCTGAACAGCTGTATGCAGCTGTTCGGTAGATCAGCCCTCCCAGCAGCAGAGCCCATCTCCCGGAGACCGTTGGCCGACATGTGCGCGTCCCGACCACCACGTGCGGGCATTTGTGCTGTTCCCAAACAAGGGTCTCCCTAGCTCGGCATCGTGACTGTTCATGCTCTATGCCCATCTCCCCTGCCTTCTCTTCTCCTTTCCTCCCTCCCTCCCCTCCCTCCTCCCTCCCTCCTGTACAGAGAGCGGATCTCTCCGCCGTAAGTAGCTGCCTGGCACTTGCCAGACGGTGCGCGCAATAGCCAACGCCGGTTCCGCGCGCAGCGACGCCGACATAATTACGAGCATCATTACGTCGAGCCATGCGGAAACAAGGCGCTGTGTGTCATCTGGCTCCAGGCAGCGGCAGGCCGACTTCAACACGGTGTGTTTGCACGTTCCTGGCTTCCCAAAACATTAATGAAGGGGTATTCCACTTTCCACTTTCACTGGATGATTTCCCATTTCATCCGAAACATTGACCGCATGTTACACATATTGACGTGGTTGGTTGTGCTACCTTCAGCTTGCGTGCCTGCCGTTCGCGATACCAAGAGAATGGGCTGTGGAGTGTCGAGGCTCGGCCCGTGCGCTTTCACAGCTGAGATGGTGCCAAAGAACGACCACGTGGCTTCGTTGAACGGTTACAGGTCGCGACATGATACACAATCCTTCTCCCCTGCTGTCTTGGTGACTTCAGTTTAAAAATACGACTTGGGCTTTGTCCCCCGCCCCTGCCCCTCTCCTTTCATCTCCTGTCTTCCATCCTCCCTTTTTGAAACATTCGTTATGGTGTGATTCACTGGCCTGTGCAGACCGGTCTGTGGGTGTGCAGCTGTCAGGTCTGTTGTGGCCTGACCCGCTCCCCGTCCGGTACAGCCAGCTCCCGTGAACCCAGCCGACGCCGCGCCTGGCCACGGCCCGGCTGCCGGGTGGTGAAAGCGGCAAGCGGGCGTCCGACGGGCTGGACCGCCTGCGCGCTGGCCGGCCCGGCTTTCAGGTCTTCGGTCTCAGTCGGGCCCACACGCCCTGAACGGCGCCGGCGGTGACGCCATTGCCGCTCACTAGCTCCCACAGGGTGAAAATTTACCCGCGTCACATCACGGGCTGGTCCTGCGTCGGTGATGCTGCTTCAACCGTGCTGATTGTACGGTATAGGGACGGAGGATACCCTTGGGCTCACTCGGAAATAGCATTTGGTAAAGGTTTTGCTGTCGTTTTGCGGCTGCATCGAGAAATTGCGAGAACCCGTAAAGCTCGGATTTCACCGCACCCCTTTTCGTTTAGCGATTTTTCGTTTTTTTTTTACATCACCGCGTCACGTTTGCTTGTGCGTTTGCTCTTTGAACTGTTGAGTCAAGATTGTGTTACTGTTTTTTATCGTCCCGTTGTTTATATGTCCTCGACGGCTTACAACAACACTAATCAATTCAGGGGCGGATACAGGATTTCATCAAGGCGGGGCCACGAAACACTATGGAGCCCCCTAGAGTTTGGGGCCCCGAACGACAGTGTGCACAGGCAGGTTAACAGATGGGCCTCTGACAAGAGCGTAGGGCCCTAAACGAGTGGCATGGAATTGGAAACACCCTAGACCGATGCAGAGGGCCCATGAGCACATCGCGAGTGTGTCGGTAGTTGAACGGAGACCAACGTAAAGGGTCCCGACCAACCGAGAATATCCCGACAGGCTAACATATGGGGCCCCGGTTGGGTCCCTTGGGTACTATGGGTCCCTTCGGAGCCTATAATCCCCTTCGTAGCCTAAGCGGGGGAGGGCATTGTCTCGTGCCCACCCACTTTGGATCCTCCCCTGAATCAATTGGCCATCGCAGCAATACCCAGCCTACCTGCAGATGCACACCATATGCATGCCACCGCCATGCATTTTAGCAGTGCCTCGTCTTGGATTCCTGCTCGCATGCTATTGATCTATTGTTGAAAATAAGGGAGAGTTCAGTAAAATTAGGGGGATAAGGAATTATTCCCTACAACATGGCCTGCGTTGCCCTTTCGCTGCGCGCGGCAGCATTTGCAACAACCGTGTCTGCGCTAAGAAACTAGATGTGTGACGTCAAACTCACCAATATTCAACTAGCTAAATTAGATACTAACTCACCTGCAAGTGCGCCCGCTTTTTACGCAAATGATGATAGGTAGCATACATACAATTGGGAGATGCGAGAGTCCCTGAATACCTGCACGTGTCTACCATAATTGCGCTGCGTGTCAAGCTTGCCTTAAACCTGGTCCTCTCTGAAGGCACACTCTTCGCCAGGCACTAGTTAATTACCCTCCATCTCGACTGAGCTGGCCCTCCGCTCTCCCTCAAAATCCACTCAAAAGCAGTGACAAGCCGCTCCATGTTCAAAGTGACGTCATTTACGCTATTGTGATGGAAAATTTAAATGCAGTTTATATGCGTAAATTGTATTGCAATTTACTGTTGTTTTACTTGTATTTTGTACTTCCACACTCCTGCCTTTTTATTTCGTGTTTACGATTTTTCCCAAATTTTGCGTTTTTTGATCACAGTGTTTTGCAGTGGGGCCAGGCCCGTGTTTGTATGGACCTTACATTACTCCAGTGACGGAAAAGTGCAAAACCGCGATAAAAATGGTAATCGCAACGAATAATTGGAATCACGTATAGTGGAGCTTGGGTGTAACGCCACCCGCAAACGCATGCAGCTCAAGCCTGGGGATACGACCTTTACTGTGTGCTCCGCATGTGCGGACACT